AAAAAAAAAAAAAAAAAATCAAAATCAAAAGGTTGAAAAGAACAAAACCTTCTTCCTAGAAGCACAGTCGAACTCAAACTATCTTAGTAAAGGAATCTTTCCATCGGAACTTCAGATAGGATGAAGGAAAAGCCTATATTAGGAACTGAAATACTATCTCCAAATGATTAATGATGACCTCAGTCTTAAATTTGTTTTCTTTTCTTCTGGGTATTGTTCATCAGTAGGAATTATATTGTAAATTTCTTATGCTTAAAGCTATTTGAAATACTTTTCATTCTTTCTATCAGTGACACTTACCAAACTAGGATTAGACATCTGCTAATTAAGTGACTGTCTTATAACTAGGTATTCCATTGTTGCATGTAAATGAAATATAAATAAATCTGAACAAAAATGAAAGGTATAATGAGAGACTTACAATTATGGTTATTGATTTACTCCCTTCCTCGAGCATGATGTTACCGTACTGTAAATCATTGTGGCAAAAACCCATACTTTGAGAAGGTCCTGAGAGTTCCTTCTCCAATAAAGAGATTTCCTTTTCAATGGAATCTAACTGAAAGGCATTAGCTTCTTCTGGGGTAGACAATCTCTTAGCCGTACTGAGCCAGTTTCTGGAACATTTACAAAGAATTCATTGCAGCTATAATAACAGTAGAAACAATTATGTCGGTGACAATTTAATCTCATTTTATTCTGAGACATAGTATTATTGCAAAGAAAGGCCGAAACAAAGAAATGTACCGCAATCTATCCCACAGGGTGACATCCTTTGGGCCAGGCATATTAAGTTCATGGAACTCCTTTAATTTAGCAGCTATAAGAGCAGATATATCTGGATCACGTAGATCAGATGCTGAGAGTGTCTGAAAGTTCACAAGTGAAAGAGAGAGATATAATGTTACTTTAAGTAAAGGAACAAAGTGCTTTCATATTTTACGAAGAGTTATATAAGTCTGTAGATGACTTCTCTATTCAATTTATCCATGTAACTCAAGAAATGAAATAGATATGCATTTATCTTGCTTATATGAACTCCAATAACAAGAAATATAGCACCTCAAGTGGGATTAAGAATTCCCTAAGAAAATAATTATTATATACCAAAGAGCTATAGAAGGTAGTCATACAAATTGAAAACTTGACACTACAAGTTGACAATTTGGCACCACAAATTTAATCTCATGTACAAGAAATATATACTAAGCTTGATAGCAAAAAGAACCTAGGCATATAATATACTTCTCAACCGAAGTAGAAATGGCAGAACAAATTTGTGTGGTCTTAAAGTTGCAACAGTAAGGATCAAGAGAAGCATCATAAATTTTAATCACAAGCATAAAAATGTTTCTGTCAATATTATTATTGAACTCCCTGACGTTCCTCAAAATTTTATACCAATACAAATGTAACATTTGATTGTGACATCCACTTACAATATAGAGAGAAAATTAGAAAACAACTTTTTTCTTTTTGTAAAACATGCCACATTATTATGAGTTTGAAAAAGAACGACAGTATGATAAGTAAACATGAAAGTACCCGCGCATGGATGAACTCTTCAATTCGGCCATTTGGAAAACGCCCAAGCAAGCGAGGTCCCTGACCATTCTTTGACATGTACTCAAATGTTCGGATCTCATTATCCCTGTCAAAGAACACATCGACACCCTCACCATAAATCCTAACCACAACTTTGCGTGAGAGCTCCCCTGTCTTTGCTGGCCACTTTATTTCGAAAACCTCATTAGTCATTGCACCCTTGAGAGGGATCACCTGGAGTGCCTTTGAATCAACCACATCTTCCCACTGGGAAGCCAATGATTGAAGAATCTCCCTAGCTTCTGCTGGTAAACGATCTTCTCTGTTTTCTATGACATTTTCCATGGCACCCATTACAAATGATCAAACTGCACTTCCACACCACGATGACGAGAACTACCCAAGCAACCTAATATCAATGTGTAATCCAAGAACAAAATAACAGGAATTAATATGACTTTTTGACTTCCTAAAAACTTTATCATCTAACTGTCTAACTGACATAAAGCCAACAAACTAAAAACATATGCGAATAATAGCTGTACAAATGCTAAATTCAGAGCACACCCGAATATGGCTAAACCACCTTGAAGTCAGAAAGCTCAGCAACTAAACGTTCGCATAATCTTCACTAATAAGCAAGATGGTATGAAGAATTTATCAGAAAACAATTTAGCATCATGTTATACAACAATTTGTCTATCTCACAGGCTCTCGCTGGTA